GAGGCTGTGGGCGGCAGAGTGGCGGAGAGGGGCGGATAATGGATGTGCTTCCCGCCGCCAGCGGAGCACTTAGTGCTCTGACCCGGGCTGAGTTCTCCTGGGAAGGGACAGCAGATCCGCCAGCCTCACTCTGGAGCCTTGAATCTATCCATCAGCATGACCACCGGTCCGGGGGAGACGCTCTCAGGGCTTTGTCCCGAAGACAGAGAGACTGAGCCGAGGGTCCCTGAGTGTGGCACAGGGAGCCGGGCTGCGGCCCGCGTGAGGGGACAGGTGCCCGGAGTGCAGCCCTGAGCACCCCACTGCAGACACCCGGACCCCTGCTGCTGGGAGAAGCCCGGTCTGGTGCCCTGGCCGGCCGGCCCCGCGGGAGCAGCATCCACACTCTCGCTCTTTTTTTGGGGGGGGGCGTCTGAGGAGGTTAGGACAGAGGATTCTTGGGGTTTTCAGCCTGGCAGACGTGGGGCCTGGCTCTGACACAACAGGGCCGCATGGGAGAAGCCCCCCACTGGGCCTGGGCCCAGCACAGGTCCAAACCTGAGTGTAAAGAGGGCATTGGCTCCTGGGCTCCTCCCCGCGGTTCCCCAGGACTGAGGATCCCTCTGCCCACGCCAGTCCTCCAACCCTGGCCCTGGCCAGAGTGGACGCCAGGCATTGGGCACTAAGTTGCTCTGTTCAGGGTTGTCCTTGCAAAGGTCTCAAGGGATATGCCTGGGGCTTGGACGCAGCAGAGGAGGGAGGCTGGGCCTGTAGTCCCCTCCCTTCTTCCGACTTAGTTGACCAGGGCTTCCGCCTTGCCTCCGCCTTCTTCCCAGGAGCTGGGAAGCCACCAGCCGGGAAGTGGTTCCTTCCCTTCTCACCCCCTCCGGATGCTTCCCCCTGCCTTTTGGGTCTGCAGCTTCCGGTGGTGGAAAGGGGACCAGCCTGTTGGGAGTACCGGGGGCCACACAATCCCAGCCCAGACCAGCCAGGGAAGGCTGAGGGTCCCTTTCCTCAGCGCAGGGGGTGGGAGGAAGGGGGGCTCCTCCTCTGTCTTGTGACCCCATGCCCTCTTCCTCCCTTCCTTCCAGGGCAGAGATGAACATGGAACCCACAGCCCTGGGAGAGCAGGCTGCATGCTGGGTCCTGAAATCAGAGCTGTGGGTCTGGGCTCCCCACCAAGTGTCGCCTGCACCTCCAGCCTAGAGCAGACTAAGGGCAGAGGGTCTCCACACTGCTAGCCCCTCCCTCACTCCTGTGAGTCTCTGGGAGCTGATCCTTGCCCTCTGGACCTCAGAGCCTGTTTCTCCCAGGGCTGGGTTCCCTCAGCTGTGTGACCTGGGGACAGCTGCCAAGCCTTTCTGAGCCTCAGGCTCCCCCTCTGTAAATGGAGCTGCTGGGGAGGTTTCCTCATACCACAGTTGGCCACATGCCTGGTCTGGAGATGGCAACTGCTCCTCTGACTGTGGGGGGCTGGAGAGGGGGATCTGGGCTGCCTCCAACTCTGCGGATCCCTTCCTAGGTCCTCCCAGCCAGAGAGGCTCTGGCCCTGCACAAACAGAATGTTGGAAACTGTGTCTGGCTGCTGGAGCACCCGCCCATCTTCAGCAGGGCTGTGTCTCTGGACACCAGGGCAGTCATCGCCAGTCCCTGGGTGCCCAGACCCAAGCCCTGTCCCCAGGACTCGTGTGCCCAGGCCTTGGGTGATTTCCTTAGAAGAGGAATGGGGCCTCTCAGCCAGAGTTGCAGGGAACCAGGGTCCCTGGGTCCCCACCCCACTCTGGATGTCCATGGGGGAGCCAGCCCCCTGCCCCAGACCCAGAGCTCCCTGTCCCTGTCCCTCTTGGTGCCCAATCCAGGCCTTGAAAGCCCCCTGAGGCCCTGGCCCAGTGCCACCTGTCACTGGCGGCCCTAGGACAGGCAGTACTGCCCCATTCCACAGATGCTGCCCAGGCCCAGCCCTCCTTACCTTCTGCTGGGTCCTCTGACGCCATCCTCAGCCTTGGTCCCCGGGGGCCCCAGGAGCCTGGGTCTCTGGGGATCAGAGAAGCTTCTGCCAGGAGCCTGGGCCTCAACCCCCAGCAACCCCCAGCCCAGGGGCCCCCCAAGGCTGATCAGCAGAGTCAGGATCATCTCTGTGGCCGGGCAGGCGTAGGCAGCAAGTGACTACAGGACTGCCAAGTGACGTGGTCTTCAAGTTAAATCTCAGAAGGAAAAGAAAACACGGGGACAACAAAGAGAGGAAGTGGCTTAGGCCAGCCCCACACTGTGGGTCTCGTCCGGCCCCCCCACCCCCTGCCTGGCCCCCACAGAGGCCGCTAACCATAAATGCTGGTTCCTGTGCCCCGGACACTTCGGGTATGGAGGACACAGGGGTGGCCCTGCAAACCATTCCAGAGGGAATCTGTCCTGGGGACATCCAGGAAGCACACAGGGGCAGCAGGAAGTGGTCCTTTGGTTTCAGGGTATTATAGACAGCTAAGGTAGAAATATTGTGGGCAGTCAGTCAAGGCTAGGCCTTCGAGGGAGTCTGCAGACGATGAGAACACATTACAACTGTGGCTGGAGGAGCATTCGTTGAAGTCCAGACTTCAAGATAAAGATGGAATGACTAGGCCTACATACCTCCCTGAGGGATAAACAATATACTACGGTCCAATAAGCCTAGATAGCCATCGGTCACCCAGGTGAGTGATAAGGACCTCCTGACTCATCTTTTCCAAAAAAATGGTCCTTGTTCTTTCCATGCACACCTGCAACATGACCTGCCTTCCCTTTGGATCAATATTACCTAGGCAGCTACACTTGTAATCTTATTGGTTGATCACAGTTTTGTCCCATGTTGTACCCACTTCAAGATCCTCTATAAAACTTCCTTTGAGAAGTAGGCTCACTGGTAACCTATTTTCGGGTCACCTCCTGCCTCTCAGGTGCTCTCTCAATAAATATCTCCCACTTTTTTTTTTTTGGTACCGGGGATTGAACTCGGGTCCTTGTGCTTTCGAGGCAGGCACCAGAACCACTGAGCTAAATCCCCAGCCCCCACTCCACTCTTAACCTCCATTGTTCCTTAAAATTCATTCTTCAGTTTTGAGAACAAACAGCGTATCTGATATCTAGCAGGTTGGGAGTTATATTATTTCCCTTAGAGCATTTGGAGGTCCTATATCAAGGGGACCTGCTGCCCACTTCCACCTGGTGGCCAGGAAGTGGGGGACACATGGTGCTGCCTCAGCACCCGTTTCTTTGGGGCTGCTGGGAGGATGCTCAGAGAGGACAAGGAGCCTGCCTGGGTCACACGGACAGCAGCCAGAGTCCAGGCCATGGGGAAGCCTTTGCCTGGCCGGCCCTGCTCTCCGATGGGTCAGGCTGGCCTGGGCTGTCTTTGCCTGGCCCTGGCCCCTGTCCTACCCTGGGTGCTGAGCACCAGCCATGGCCCCTGGCCTCTTTGTGCACAGACTGCAGCCAACCTGAGCTGAATGAGGGCACAGGGCAGGAGGGAAGGGGTGATTCGGCAGGGGCCCGGCCCTACTCCCCGCCATCTCTGCCTGGAGACAGCCTCCCTGGCCACCCCACCCCCACTGCCAGGCCGGCTTGGGCTCCCGCCAGCATCCACAACATCAATATTTCATCTGCGTCAATAAGAGGCAGTGCCGGGCAGCAGGGACCGGGCTGTGGCTGCACTCGAGCCAGCTCCAGCCCACAGCTGAGGGAGCCATTGTCTCCATCCTCGCCTGCACCATGGATGTCTTCAAGAAGGGCTTCTCCATCGCCAAGGAGGGCGTGGTGGGTGCCGTGGAAAAGACCAAGCAGGGGGTGACAGAGGCCGCTGAGAAGACCAAGGAGGGGGTCATGTATGTGGGTGAGTGCGGCCAGTGGGGAGGGACCCGGAGGGGTGGCAGCCAGGGCCAGGCGCCTGTGACCTTTGGCCTCCCCTTCCTCCCAGCCCGCTGAGGCACTGTGGCAGCGTGAGGACCTGGCTATCGAGGCAGGGTCCCAGGCCCTGAAGAGTGCCTGCCTCTGGCTGTCTCTCTGGTCTCTGGAACAGGATCCCTGTGCACCAGGGGCCTCCTCAGACCTCAGCCTGGCTGCCACCTGTCTGTGCACAAACACACCCACTCTGGGTCCTGACCTGGGCCCCAAAGCTGAGAGCGGCTGCACGTGTCCCTGCCCCAAGGGAAGGGCTGGGCTGGGGTCCATCCCTCTCAGCCCCTGCTCCCCGAGAGGAGGATGCAGGGGAGACCAAGCTGGTGACTCAGCTGTGTCTGGTGCTGCGGCTGCAGCTTCCAAGGCCCTGGCCACATCCAGCCAGGGTCTGAGAGCTTGGACCCTGCAGTGTCTCTGGGCTCCTTTGACCCATCCTGTCCTGTCTCCTTCTCATCCTTCCCTTCCTCTGGTCACAGCACGAAGTGGCCCACTGATGGGGCTGCCAGACCCCAGTCTCTGTCCCCACCCCTCTGCCTCAGCCTGGTCACCTGTCCTGTGGTGTCTGCCCAGAACCCGTCCTGTGGGCCTGGGCTGATGCCTCCATTTCCCCCCAAGGAGCCAAGACCAAGGAGAACGTAGTGCAGAGCATGACCTCAGGTGAGGGGACCCAGGACCAGGGGACAAGGTGGGGTGGGGCAGGGCAGGGACCAGAGTGCCTGCATCCAAGCCCAAGTCCTCCTCACCACAGCTGGGGTCCAATCCTAGTGGGGGACCGAGGGGCCCTGGGATCAGGAAGGGGCAGTGGAGGGGCTTGGAAAGGGAAGGCTGCGGTGCTGCCAGGGAGCTGCCAGGGTGACGCCAGGGTCCTCCTGTCCTCCCTCAGCGGCCGAGAAGACCAAGGAGCAGGCCAATGCCGTGAGCGAGGCCGTAGTCACGAGCGTCAACACCGTGGCCACCAAGACAGTGGAGGAGGCAGAGAACATTGTGGTCACCGCCGGAGTGGTGCGCAAGGTGAGCCTGGTCTCCAGCTGTCCTCGGCCTGGGAGACAGCCGGGGGAGGCTTCACTGGTGTCGGACACGCGGAGGACAGGATGTTGGGTCCACTGTTCCCTACCTCGTGTTTCTTACAGTGGGAAGCGGGGCTCATTTTATAGACAGGGAAAGTGAGGCTGGACCACACCCACTCCGTGGCTCTCTGCGCTAGGAGAGGCCACATTGCATAAGTGTGCACAGGGCCCCGCTGGTGACAGCAACCACAGAGCCACCGCCCACCTGCCCAGGGTGCTGCCTCACCCAGCCAGCCACCAGCTCCTCCCCGGAGCAGTGGGGGAGCAGCGCCCCCTGGTGGTGGATGGCAGCGAGGCTTCAGACCACACCCTAGGGTTGGTCTTTGTGTGAGCATGCGCACGCGCGTGTACGCCTGTGTGCCTTGTGCAGGGTGTGTGTGCTTGCACATGTGCACGGTGAGGGTGCATGTGATGCACACCCAAGTGCGCACACGTGTGTAGCCCAGCAGTCGGTGCAGGGCCTCGGGGCTCTCCCAGAGATGCCAGCTGTGTGAGCTGTCCAGGTGCCTGTCTCTTCACGCTCGTTAACTCGTGTAATCAGCACACGTCCCGTGAGCGGGGTGTGGAAGCTGAGGCCCGAGAAATGAGGTAACAGGCAGGTCCCTTAGCGAGTCCATGCGGGCGTGGTGCCCCAGGCCTGGCTCGGAGCCTGCAGGTCCCAGGTCCTGCAGCTGCTGCAGGCTGCCCTGCCCAGGTCCCCACTCCGGGAAGGATGGGAAAGGTTCCACTCTGCCTGCTTTAGGGGCTGCACAGGGGTCTGCTTCCAGGGCCCCCAAGACAAGTCCTTGTGTTGGAGGGCGCAGCTGCTCCCTGTCCTCATCCCAGCTCTGCCCTGCCCAGCCATGTGGCCCTGGGATTTGCTGTCACCTCTCTGGGTTTCTGTGTGTGTCTCACTGGGCTGTGGAGTGCAGCAGGGAGGGGACCCCCAGGAAGAGGCTCTTCCTGGCTCATGGTGAGCATCCCTCGCTATCCATGTGTGCCAGGAGCCCAGACCCTGGGGGACAGGCCCTGGGGCAGGTGCCAGTTGGCCCCGAATTGGTCCTGGAGAACAGATAAGCTCTCAGAGCTGCCCCAAGGGACACCACTCTGTGACACCCAGACCCAGTCCCTCCCCACCCCAGTGGGCTGAGTGCCCAGCCCAGGGCTTCTCACTATGGCCTGGAGGCAGCAGGATGAGCAGGTGGCCATCTGCCCTTCACCCAGGGACCCTGCTTCACCTGGCCCGCTCTGTGCCCTTTCATGCTACCTTCATGACCCAGAGGCAAGGCAGGATGGCCCCACAGTAGCACAGCATCTGGTGTGGAGACTGGGGTCTGGGCCCATGGCTAGGCTGGGCCTGAGCCAAACTGCCATGACCACCCAGGCAAGGGGCTGACAGGCTGGCATGTAGGGGGACAAGAGATGGAAGAGGGTTCGTGCTACTGGGGACCAGAGGTTTCCTGGAGCAAGCTGGATCTGCTGCTAACCAGCCCTGTTGCACCTCAGGGTCTCCATGAATAGCTAGGACACAGCCCTCCTCCTAGGGCTGGAGGGACAGTTGGGACAAAGGCTGTGATTCACAGCCTCTGCCATCTGAGCCCTCCCTCACCCCAAGCATCCTCATCAAGGGACCCAACCAGGGGTACCCAGGACCTGGGGTCAGCTTGAGGGGAGCTGAGTCCCAGGCACCCCTAGAAGGCCTCCCTCTGTGCCTTCCCTGAAATCTCAGGTCCCCTTGTTCCCCTGCAGGAGGACTTGGAGCAACCTGCACCTGCTCAGGAGGACCAGGCAGCTGCAGAGGAAGGAGCAGCTGAGGAGGTAGGAATGGCCTGGGCAGGGCCTCTGATGCAAGCTTCCGCTTCCCCCTTGGGTCGCAGGCCCTGTCGGGAGCCTCTGGCTTCCTGGTGCCCCCACAGGGACTGTGGGAGGAGTGACCCCCAGCCTGGCAAGACCCCCATGAGGGACCTTGGGGCAGCCACGAAGGCTTCGGTGTGGAGCCTGATGTGAGGGTCCCTCTCTCTCCAGGCCAAGAGTGAGGGAAAATAGATGGCTGCTGTGGCCCCCGGAGGCCCGAGGACATCCCTCTGCCTCGGATGTCCCTCTGCCTCGGACCTGTGCTCTCCCATCGCCAGTGGCACCCCTGGCCCCACAGCTGCCATCACCCTGTCCACCACGTGCCACCATTGTGTCACCTCCTGCCTTCGGCCCCTCTGTCCACTGGTCCTTCTAACCCTACAGGTCAAATGCTGCTGTGAATTCTTTTTTCTTTTTAAAAAATGATTTCAAATAAACCATGCACCTCTTCCCTTCACTGTCTCTTCTCTCTGCTGTGTCAATGTCCATGAAGCCCCTGGGCCCTGCCCAAGGACTAGGGATACTATGGGGACACACTGGGTGCTTCTGTGACCAGGGCACCCCCAACACTCCCATGGCCTACCCCCCACTTCCCTGGGCTTGGCGGCCCCAGGAGCACAGCCTGGCTGTCCCCAGGTGCACCCTGCTGAGGGACCCAAGGCCAGCAGGAGAGGGTAACCTGGGTGACTGTCAGCCCCAGCACCTTGGGGGAGCACAGACGGACACCCACCTCCCCTCCCCTGGCAGTTGGTAACTTTCAAAGGTGGTGAGGTCTAGCCAGACACAGAAATGCATGCTTATAATCCCAGCTCTCTGGGAGGCTGAGGCAGGAGGATTACAAATTCAAGTCCCATCTAGGCAATTTAGCAATTTAGGGAAACCTTGTTTCAAAATAAAAAATAAGCTGGGCATGGTGGTGCACTGCAATCCCAGCATTTAGGAACCTGGGGCAGGAGGCTTGCATTGGCTTCAGGCCAGCCTAGGCTACACAGTGAGTTCAAGGTCAGCCTGGACTACATAGTGAGACCTTGGTTCATAAATAAATAAATAAATAAGGGCTGAGGATTTAGCTCAGTGGTTTCGCTACCTGCTGCTCAAGTGCAAGGACCTGAGTTTGATCCCTGGTACCAAAACCAAAAAAAAATAAATAAATAAATTTATTATTGATAAATTATTAATTAATTAAATTATTATTAATTTATTATGATAGTGAGGCCTAAACCTATGGTGAGGATGGATGGTGTCCACCCCAGCAGACACATGAGGTGACCTTGTGTCTTCCTATCTGCCCCCAGGAACAAGGCTCCCTCTCTTGCCCTGAATCTTCCAGCTGTCATTAAACAGTGCAGCCTCACAGCATGTTGGGAAGGAGAATGATAGCAGTGAACCTCTGCCAAGCCCAGGCATCCTGGTGCTGTACTGACTGCGTTCCCATACTGGGCCTCCCACAAACCCGTTGGGAGGAGCTGGGTGACCCCCAATTCCCTGTAGGAGCCTCCAACTGGAGAGGTTAGGTTGCTTGCCTGGGGCACACAGCTGGGCAACAGGGGACTGGGCACAATCCAGGTGGCCTGGCTGCAGAGCCACCAGTGAGCCACACTTTGCCGGGCTACAGACTGCCTGCTCCAGGTTCGAGCACAGACCCCACACCAGGCTGTTCAGTGCCCCGCTGAGGGCACTTGCGCTGTACTCGGAATCCTGCTCGTCAGGGACTTCGCCGCCTTCTGACTCCACCTGGAGCCCAGAGCTTGGAAGCAATTTGCTGGGGTGTCAGGACTCCAGACCGGCCCTTCCACCCTGCCTCCCCTGCGCTGTGATGGAGAGTGGGGGCCCAGGGCAGCTCATGTGGGTCCAGCCATGCTGGGTGGATTCCACTGCTGGGAAGCAGGAAGGAGTGGGGTGCTGCTCCTGTGAAGTGGGGGTGCTTGGGCAGGGAGGGAACTTCCCACTGTCACCTACACACGCATAGCAGCAGGAGCCGCTGTAGCCTGGGGTGCCCACAGCGCTCTGGGCTAGAAGAGAAAGCAAGGGGAGCAGGGTCTCCTTGGGAGGCTGTGGGACACCAGATGGGGCCCTGGGGGCAGCCCTGCCTTGGCTGTAGGAGCTCGGAATGGTCCCTCTGCTTCCACCCTACAACCACTCCCTGGACATATGCATGTGCACGCACACCAATGCGCGCAGGACCTACCTTGGACTCAGTCCCTTCCAGAAAGATGCTCCCATCCAAGGGCATCTGCAGGGTTCTTTGCCTTTAAACCCCACTTCCTATCCTGGGGGACCCAAGAGGGGGCCACCACCCCACCACTCTACCCTACCTCCTGCAGGGCCCCCTGCCAGTGTCAAGCATGTAACCCCAGGAAATCCTTAATAGCTAGGCATGGTTGCACGCCTGTAATCCCAGCACTTGGGTGGCTGAGGCAGGAGGATTGCCTCGAGTTTGAGGCCAGCCTCGGCTGCATATTGAGACCCTATCTCAAAAGACCAAACTAAAACAAATACACTAACAAAACAAAAAACCACAACAGAGCCTCTACCTTCATCTACTTTTAGTTTACTTTAAAATATCACTGATTTTGGAGATCACATCGCACAGCAATGTATGATTAGTCCCCCGCTAGCTTGCTGCAGGTGACACCTACCATGTAGGCTATGAGAACAACAGTTGCCGGGGTCACTCCTCAGGGCCTTGAAGGCCCCTTGTGCTGCAAGCACCGGCCCTACCCAGACAACTAAACCAGAGTGAAGCGCTGGGCCCCTTGGCCTCCGCATGGTGCCCGTGCCCTCTGCTAGCCTAACCTCCAGTCAGACTTTAACTCGGTGTGTAGACGCCTTAGTCACTGAGGAATGTTTATCTGGAGCAGTGATACAGCCTGGTCTGCTCTACACTTACCCAACCCCAAACCCAGCAAGACACCAAGGTAAGAACTAGGACGTTTTCGAGGTCTACAGGGCATCACGACCTTGCACTGTGTGTATACCACCAACCCGCTTTCACAACTGCGGTTCCAGACCACTGGAGAGGTGATGGGAAGTCTCGGGCATGGATGCCATCTTAACCTCACCCCGTTCCTGCCCCTCCCCCAAGGACCAAGGAGCTTGAAACTTAGGCAGAGTTAAGATGGGGTTTGCGTGTTTGGTTTTTCTTTTTGATTTTTTGAGACAGGGTCTCACTGCGCAGTTCAAGCCGGCCTTGAATTCACTATGTAGCCCAGTCTGGCGTCCAACTTGTGGTGATCCTCCTGCCTTAACCTCCTGAGTGTTGAGATCACAGGAATGTGTCACCATGCCTGGCTTCCTTGCAGAATAATTCTTTTTTCCTTGTTCACACCTCCTGTCCTCCATCCACTGGGCCCCCCACCCAAATGAACACAGACTGAAGCCCCACAACCATTTCTCCTCACAAGGCACATTGGAAACTGCCAGTGAGCTCGCAGCAAGGTTGAGGGTAGTGAGGTTCAGGGAGGGGCCAGGGTCTCAGGGTCCCGGACCCCAGAGGTCTGGCCTCAGTGTCTGCCACTGCTTTGGGCAGGCCATGCCTCCACCGCAGCTGCTGCCTTCCTGGGCTGGACGACAAGCAGCAGCACCCTCTCTGGGAGAGTAAAGCAAATACCCGGGGCTTCCTGCCTGCTTGAGCAGTGCTTCCTGCCCAACTGGTCAGGCACTGGTGACCTCTGACTGTCCCCTTCCCCAGCGTGACACAGGGGACAGCACCCTCCTCTCTCCCTCCCACTCTGGGCTCTTATTTTCACGTGTGCCTGACAGTGTCCCCCTTCCCTGGGGGTCTTCATCCAACCTCCTCGTCTGTGCCCACAGGGTCCAGGGCCCAGTGGGGGACAGATGGTCTGTGGTCCCAGAGCCCATCCCGTGGTGTCAGAGCCTGCCACCCCCACCCGCTTCTGACTCAATCTCCTCTGTCAACTGATGTTATTAGTAACAGCACCATTTCACCAGGTGACGACAAACTGTACGGGCGGCTGTCACAAAGTATTAGTGCTGTGCCTGCCATGGCAGCTATTATTCATGTTGCCCTTGGCCTTGATTCCTGACCATGTGGGGACCCTCAGGGTTGAGGAGGAAGGGGCCGGGCCCCCAGGGGACAGAGGTTTGGGTAACTCTCTCCTGCCCCTCACCCCTTTCTGGGTGGCTGACCCACAGCTGCAGCCCTCCAGCCCCTCCTGGGATCCTGGCTCTGGCCACGCCTCTCCATGGTGGGCCCCCAGGGGTCTGCACTGTTGCCAGCTCCCCCCAACCCCCAGCAGTGCCCAGGGCAGGGCCTGCCACGGGTCAGACCATGTCCTGGAACCGCCCTCAGCCCCCCCACGGGGCGGGCCAACCTGAAGGCCTTGAAAACCTGAGCTGTGCTTGGGTCTGCACTGTGGTCTGCAGGATACAGCTTCACTACAGCTGTCCCGGGCACCCACAAACCTCCCAGAGCCATGGCCAGCAAGGGCTTGAAGGACCTGAAGCAGCAGGTGGAGGGGATGGGCCAGGAAGGTGAGTGGGGCACCCTCCCTTGGCATGGAACCTCACGCACCTCCTGAATGCTCAGAGCAGGGCCCCTTGTGGGTCTGCACCCCAAGCTGGAGACTACAGGGACCGTGAGACACCCACCCACGCCAGCAGGAAGGGGCGATGTGCGGGTGGAGGTGAGGGACAGCAGTGCCCCAGGAGCCCATCGGAGGAGGAGTGTGGGGAGGAAGTGCCCCACCTGGTCCTGAGTGGCCCCATCAGGGCCCTGAGGCAAGGGCAAAGGTCCTAGAGCTCAGGCAGAGGGGACAGGGATTTTACTCCAGTGGCATCTGTCCTGTGGGTTGGAGGGGGCAAGGGTGGACCCGTGGTCAGCAGGGGCTCCATAGTGGCTAACAGGAGTCTTGTTCCCCCTCTCTTGACAGGTGCCACTGCAGGCCAGCCAGTGGACCCCACTGAGGCTGGACAGAAAGGTCTAGGGGCTGCAGGGAGGAGGAGGGTCCTCTGCAGCAGGGCTTCCTGGGGAGGGAGCCGCCCCACCCCTGTCAACAGCAGGGACAGTCAGCAACGGCGCTGTCCTTACTCATCACCCCTGCCTCCCCAGGCGCTGAGAAGCCCCAGGAAGCCACCGACAAGGCTGCCAACCAGGGCTCTGATGGGGCCACGGGGAAGAAGTTCAGCCACCAGAAATGAGGCCGCCCCTCCCGGCCCTGTTCATGGAACTTGGCCCTGATGCCCCTTAGGCAGTGCCCTCCCGGGTCTGCCCCTCTCCAATAAAGCACAGCATCTCCACCGTGTGTCTGCTTTCTCCCCACATGAGGGACCTGGCTCACAAAAGGGGCCAGGAACCCACATCCAGTCTTGGCCTCCTCCACGCAGTGCCCAGGCAGCTGTCAGGGTGGCTTCCCAGCCCCTCCCAGGATGGGGTTCTCGCCCAGCAGGATCCTGTCTGGAGGAGTCCTTGGCAGCAGCGCCCTGGGAACTACACTG